CTTCAACAAATACTTCGAACGGGCTTTATTTCAACTGAAAGTGAATAGTAGTAATTTAACTGTAATTATCGAGCAGATGCTAGCATGCAAAAAACTCTCAATCATTCCGAAAAACCGTTATTTTCCAGTAATATAATTTCCCAATTCAAATCATTTGTAATATCATTCCACCAATAAATACGTTTCTGTTCCGTGCTGAAATGAAATGAAAATAACTGATAGTGTTGTTTCAGTGAACTATTCCAAACTTTGCCGGACTGGTGTTATTCTTTTCAAAAACTATTGTTTATTTACTGCTTCCTTTATGTATGCAATGCTCCAACTCGCAAAGCTAGAGGGAACATATCCACCTCAGATATATATCTTCATGTCTGGATGTTCTAAAATACATGAGTGATTCCGTTGTGGATTCGATCTCTTAGCGATCGATCGATCCAGTTTTATTTTTTGATAAGCATTTCATGCTCTCTACTAATTTTTCATGTCGAGATTCTAAATAATTTTGCATATAATATACGAACGTTCGAATGCAATACAACATTACTGTAAATTATCTTTGAGTGATTGCTTCAATAATATTACTCTTGTCGTAACTGAAACTAACTATAAGTAGCCTCGTGCAGAATTAATTCATTTTGCATAAAATTTTCTGCACTGACGCATATGAAAGATTTTGGTATTGTCAAATGCTTTAGAACCTATAATAATAGATACAATGCGATGTTGTCATATCGTCTTGATTTTCTAATGAGATCAGACGTAATTATTATGATCGATTCAATGAGTAGTTTGGAACAGGCTTTGAAACAGGAAATGATCAAATGGAGCATCATTCAGGATGGAGACAGTCACGCACTTGATTGTCATTCTATCAATTGTGCTACTACGTTCATCTGCTGAAAACGTCACTTTAGCGATCGAAACTGACCCGAATTCACTTGAAACCCTCACGGAGACTGAGGAAGTCAACGATGAAACCATAAAAGAAACCATTTCGGAAGACGAAAATGATTCTGATGAATCATTTGAAGTGCCCCCACCATTGTTCGAATTCGAAAACACAGTAGAAACCTCATTATCTGCTTCAACCGAATCCACCACTTCAAC